AAAGATCAGCAGTTTCAAATCCACCAGCCACTGTGGGGGAGAAGGATGGGCAATCTCTCCCCATAAAACTTAGAACCTGGAAAGCCAGATGGAGGCTCACGGGGTCACTAAGAGTCTAAGAAATCTGAAGGAAGTAGATTTTGGGTGGGATATATTTGAGTAGTCATTTAAAACTCAAACTCACTGTCATCAAGTCAGTTCTACCTCGCAGTGACCCTCCACCAGACTTCTCAGCCTGGAAACTGCAGGTAGTGAGAAGCAATGCCCATCTTTCAATGACAGAGTCACGGGACTTTGGGTTATAAAGCAGGGCAATTCACAAAGGTCTAGTCAGTATGTCGCTGGATTTTCTTGTTTTTCAAGGAAGTGAAAATAATTGTTAATTCAACTCCATACATCAAGAAACTAAAATTTAGAGGTTGGATCATTTATTTCAGCTCACAAAACTGAGACAGAATCAACATTCAAATCTGGACCTTTCAGACTCTAATGTTCTTTCTTCAAAAAAAAAAAAAAAGATGAAACAGGGACTTACTCCTTCAAGGCAGATTTTCTGTTGAGCTAAAAGTTCTTATTAACTATTTATTTAATAATCATATTCATTTTACAGTCTTGCTGTATTTCAAAGCAAACTTTAGGTACTGGTTATAAATATGAATCAGTCTCTAAGAAATATCAACTGTTGTCAAATCTTAAATTAAAAAAAAATATTAGCCTAGTAATGTAGTGGGTAAAGAGTTATCCTGCCAGCCCAAAGGAAGGTAGTTTGAATCCACTACATGTGCCACAGGAGAAAGAGGGGCAATTTCTTCCCATGCGATTTACAACTTCTGAAAAACTTGCTGCAGAGATCAGTTATGAGTTGATAAGTTGGCAATGAATTGCACTGATTATATATATATACACACACACACATACACACACATATGTATGTATATGTATAGATCTATGTATATGCATATATGTGTATATGTATATATTGTATATGTTAACATATAAACAGTATGTTTCTATATTATCTTTGTATACATACACATATGTGTACGTATATATAGACTTGCATGTTGTTATGTGCCGATGAGACAAATCTGGCAAAGAGCTGACCTTCCAGTGGGTTTTCAGAAGCAGTGAACTGTATGAGAGGAGACTGCCCATCTTCTTCTATTGAGCAGCTGATGGATTCAAACGTGTACTTTTGCACTGACACTGCAGCTCCTAACCCCCAAAAGTTATTCTTTCTGCTCATATACCTATATCTGTGTCTCATCCTCTCTCTTTGTATGTGTGTGTCTTTATGTGTTTCCTAAATTTATATCTCTACTACAAGACCCTCTTTAAAACATACATTTTATAGCCATTAATTGGTATCCCCTGCCTTATGTTCCATGTTGTTGTTGTTAGGTGTAGGGGGGTTGACTAACTCACAGTAACCTTAGAACAACCCATCAAAACCTTGCCCTACCCTCCAATCCCCTTTCCCATAGCATCCTCACAATCTCACCATGCTCAACCCATTCAGTCACAAGAGATAAAAAGGAGGAAGTGAGTTTAGATTAGGAAACCTTTAGCACTATCAGGAAATAATCACCAATGATAGATGTCTTCTTGGACCTGGGTCCCTGGACATGGAAGCTCTTTCTACTGGGAAGAAAACAAGACACAAGGAGACTTGCAGGAATCATGGAGCTCACTGATGCTGAGGACACAAGGACTTTTCTTTTTCACCACCCTAGATAGAGAGTGGTCTTTCTTCAGCACTGGAATCCTGAGTTTGGACTTTGGGCCTCCAAAATTTTAAGAAAATAAACTTCTATGTGTAAGTCAAATTAACACCAATAAAGGAATCTCTGCTGTGGTGGTGATGGATAACTAAGACTTCACCGCTCATCCTTCACTGTCTCAGGAAACTGAACTATCACACCACTCTCTATCACTACATATCTAGAAGAAGATAAATATTGTCTTACAATGTTTATTTTTTTTTTTAAATTCCATCTAGTTTTCTAGTTTCCACTACCACTCAGTTTTCTCACTAGTATTTTAATTTCTATTTCTGTATCCCTTCGATCAACTCTCTCCATATATACACTGGCATGACCTCTCTACAACAGAAAATGGCTTATATTACTTTTATTTTTAAAACATTTCAATAATTCACAACAGAACTTATAATAAAATCCAAATATGCTTCCGGGTATTACTACAAGCCCTGATCTACTCAATATTTTTAATGCTGTTATTCTGGAAGAACTAGTATTCCTTTCACTCCACAAACTGCCCAGTTTGGATGATAAGAGCTGTGGCGCTGACAGAAAGGTGGATACTCTCAAACAGTCTGAATCCACCCGCAGCTACAAGCGAGAACTATGGGCGAGAGGCCCTTGTGCCATTTGTTGTTGTTTTTATGTACCATTGAGTCAGAATGGACCCATAGCTGACCCTCCAGTGGGTTCTCAAGGCAGTGTAACCACATAGGAAGAGCTGTCATATACTTCTCCCACAGAGTGGCTGGTGGATTCGAACTGTGTGCTTTTGAGATTGCAGGGCATTTTCTCACCACTAGGTGACCAGAGCTTCATTTACAGTTTTTGAAACCCCACGGGCAGGTCAGCTATAAGTTAGTTCTGACTAGACGCCAATGTGTAAATTCTAATTATAGGACTCTCTGTGGTCTTTCCTTTGCCTGAAATAATCTTGTTACCAACTGTCTCAAAACTCAAGTAATTCTTCCCTTAAATATTCCATATATTTTTCTGCTTCAAAATTATAAAACAATGGGTGCAATCTTATACTAATTTCTTTTCTTGGTTAAAGTTTGGTCAACCCATTAGAATTTACAGAAAGAACCATAGTTCATCATAGTTATTATTGAAGCTGTTATTGCAGTTTTTAGGTGATTTAGAGTTTCTTTCAACTTCAAAAGACTCCAGATGACAGAGCAGGACAGTCCCAAAAGGTTTTCTTGGCTGGAATCTGTAGATTGCAGATCACCAGGTCCTTCTGTGGAACTATCATGTGGGTTCAAAGCTTCTGGGTAGCACACAAGTACTCAATCACTGAACATTAGCATTCCCTATGTTCATTTTGTTTATCTTTCTATACTTTTAATCAGCATAGGCCATGGAACATGGTGATTTTTTCATAAATCTTTTTTGAAGCACTGATGGCAAAGTAATCTTGCCATAAAATCAAGAAGTTAGGACCCTGCACCACACAGCTACGGACAACTACATCTCCCAGAAGCACATGGCTCAAGGCTGACACCTTCAAATTTTTGAGAAAGAAAAAAAAAAAGTCAAACATTTAAATATGAGTATGATGACAGAAGAAGAACCAATGTCTTTGAGTTGTGATGCTGGAGAAGAGTATTGAACATATTTCTGCCAAGAGAACAAACACATCAGTAGTTTCCCCTGTCAGTGTGAACCGTTTTCCAGAAGTGTTATCATAATGCCACAGCTCTCTGGGGATGAAACCTGTATCATAGAGAACACAGAAGCCTTTGTGGAGAGTGAAGACATTGAAAATTTAACTGTTTTATTTATAGTCCTCCAATGATTTTAGAATTTTGGCCACATTTTACATTTACTTTATATATTATAAAAGCTTTAATTGAAAAAAAAAAGTTTTAAAGACTCTAATTTAAACTTAATTACCATAAATAGTTATCTCCATTTCTTTTACCATTTAATATTCATAAAATTATAACAAATGATCTTTATGAAAGCTATATTGAGCCTGAGGGCATATCCACGATGTTTTACTTTCAGTTATTTTGAAGTTTTATTTCAAGAATTAGCTCACATTTCTGCTTTTGTTAATTTACTTCTATAAATTCTGAAGTCATAAAAATAAATAGGCTAAAATGACTAACATTTTGACAGTTATACTGTGAGATACAAAGATAAACATACACATATATAAATTCCTAGAACTCTAATAATATTTTTTATATAACTATGAATTGAAATAGTGAAGCAAAAATATAAAATTCATCTTGACCTTATTTCTTTAAAAATAATTTTTTCAAGAAAGTCATAAATGGTGCCTTTGAACATCAAGAATTTATAACAGATGTTGAACTGCGAGCCATAAATGTTTGCTTTGTTTGGCCTCCAGATGCTTCAAAAGTTTGATCCAAGATTTAAATTTGGGGGAATTCACATAAAAGACCACAATTCTGGTCCCTTTCAAAAAGTTAGAAATTCAGACTAATTTGTTAGCATTACTCTCAAGCTACATTGTCCAAGGAATGAGTAATTGCTCTCTTGTTCACCAGCACAGGCCTCTCTTCCTACTATCACAGGGCCTGCCATAACTTGCATTGCTTATAAGGCCTCTCATCTGATCAAAAAAGGATGAATCATTTAAAAAAATGGAAAATTATCAAATCATTTTGAAGCATACATAGAATCTATTTATAATACTGTATTGTTGCTCCTTGGAAGCAAGGCTTTAGAAGCTCACATTCTAAGGGTTCATAGCCAGGAGGAGAGAAAGACATGCTCAGAAGGGTGGAGTGACAAAAGAGGAAGAACCCAGAGGAGATGAATTAAAACAGTAACTAGAGTAGGTGTGTCAGGGCTAGTGAGACTGTCTCAAGATAGGGCAGGATTCAGAACTCTTGTACATATGGTCACTAAGAGTCACAGGTGACTTGATGACACATAACAATAATACTAAGAACTGAAAGTACAGAATAATTCTGGCATTCAATCTTTTTTCTTATTAAATAGACTATAATACAACAAACAAAAGAAGAAACAAATCCAGTTAAAAGAATTCTTTTGGCATCTACTCAACGCAATATCAATGGTACTGTATAATTATAAAAAATATTTAAGAATATATGTGTGATCTGAGGTTTGTATATCAACAACATCTCATAACATCTATTTCAATATCAAGCATTTTAAATTTTATTTAAGAGGTCAATGATTTAACATGCTATTATAAATTAATTGGTAAAAACTCAGAAACCGGAAATCGTGAGCACTTACCTTAGCTATCTGGACACACCAGTTAAGCAGCAACTGTGAACCGATGTTATCCTTGTGCTCATGGACATAGTCCAACAGGCATCCATGGGGCATGAGCTGTGTAACCAGCTGAATCGTTGGGCTCAGACACACGCCCAGCAATCGAACAAGATGCGGATGGTCCATACTTGCCATGATCAGCGCTTCCTGTAAGGAAGAAATATAATTATATCACTCCACCACAAAGTTCCTTACAAGTCCAAATACCTGCACTATTTTAATGGTGCTGATAAGGACATTGAAAATGTACTTTCACTCAGTGGAATAAATTAAAATAAAGACATTCCTGTAACTATTATATGCTAAGCTAATTCAAATCTATGAAATAAAATGTGAAGTTTGTACTTGCACTTCATTTAAAGATGTCATAGAATGCTGGTACAATTAGCAATAAATAAAAAAAATAGCAATTTTTTTCCCTTTTGGAATATGAAAATACTATTTATCAAGTAAGCTGAAATGAAATCTCAATTCATGCAACAGAGTTTTACATATTGGTTTTTTTTCCCTTAAAGTTGAAATATACTAAAAACAAAGCAATTATCTGCAAGAAAATACAAGTATTTATAAGAAAATACAGTGCCCCACTTTATTAAGTCGATCATACTGATACGGTGTCAGATACATATACAGGAGCTCTGGTGGCCTGGTGGTAAGAAACTGCAGTGCAATTGCAAAGGCACGTGGTTAGACTCCACCAGCTACTCTGTGAGAGAAGGACGGGCAGTCTCCACCCGTGTAACTCACAGACTCTGAGAGTCTGCTGAAAGGTCAGTTATGGGTTGATTCTGACTATTATACCCCAAAACAACAAAATATAAATACTGACATTATTTTTATATTGTGAATAAATGTAAAAGACTAAACATTTTTGTAAGATTTCTTCCTTCCATATTCACTTTTTGCTTTAATTCTCTTGTTGTCATTGTGTGCTACTGAATTGAAATTGAAGCTGACCTCCAGGAGACTTTTAGAGGTAGTAAATTGCATGCAAGGAGACTGTCCATCTTTCTTATTTAGAACAGCTGGTGGATTCAAATAGTATGCCTTTGGACTGGCAGTGCAAGTCCGTACGCTCTAGGCCAGCAGATGTCCCTTTATTTAATTTTAAAATTTGTAAACAATATCTTATTTGCGAATTTAAAAAGTCAGAATGTAAAAACCTATCTATTTTACCTTTTTAATTTAATAAAATGAAGTAAAGATGAGTTTCAATTCTTCTTAATGATAAAAATCAAGTTTTATTAATGGAGTTAAAATATGGAGATATGATAGCAATTTAATAAATTCTGAAGTTACCTCTGAATAAAATGTCATTTTAAATGTCTTTTGTACAATTTGAAACATATTGCCATAAAGGACAGATTTATGTATTCTCTATAAACCTTTAAGAATATTATTTTAAACATGCTATTTTGCATAGAATAGTAGATAATACAATGTTGATCACTTATGAGAGCAATGGTAATAATTTTCCCATTAAGATACTTCATATCATAAATGATGTAGTATGCTTGTCAATGATATTTAATGAATACAGGCATCCATGCCTTTGAAATGTGATACTGGTAAACAGTCTTGAATCATGGATCACCAAGAAAACAAATAGCTCTGTCTTAGAGAGGATGAAACCAAGTTTCTCTGTGAAGGCTAGGATCCTGAAACTCTGTCTCACATACTCTGGGCATGTGGCCAGGAGAGACCGATCATTGGAGAAGGACATCACGCTCAGAAAGGTGGTGGGACAGCACAGGAGAGGAAGACCCCAGATGAAATGGATTGATACAATCCATCTGAGGCAATGAGAATTGGTGTGTCAGAATTAATGAGACTGGCTTAGAACAGAGCAGGGTTGAGAGCTGCTATACATAGGGTTGCTATGGGTCATAAGCAACTCGAGGGCACATAACAACAGAACAATCATAAAGAAACTACCTAATTCCTACTATGGAACATTCTGCAATGTAACTGGCCTGAACTCATTAAAAATATCAGTATAAAAGGAAGGAAAAATTTCCTAAGTGAAGTGTATACTATGAATTGAATTGTGTGCCCCTAAAATATGTGTTATAGATTCTAATCCCTATGTCTGTGGTTATAATCTCATCTGGGATAGTTTTATTTGTTATGAGGTAGTGTAGAATAAAAGTTGCCTTGACTTAATCTCTTTTGAGATCTAAAATGAGCATATTCACACAATAAAGTATTATTGTTGTTGTTGTTAAGTGCCGTTGAGTTGCAGGCAACTTATAGTGACCCTATGAAGGAGAGTCCTCAACGCTTGGGTGCCTTTCATCCTCTCTCCAGGTCATAGGTTTTCTGGAGGCAAGCTATTATGGAAGTGGATGCCACTCCTCCTTCCATAGAGTATTATTACACAGCAATAAAGAAACCAATGAGGAACTCATGAAACACTATACTACATGGAAAAATGTGGACGACATTATGCTGAGTGAAATAACTCAGTAAAGGACAAATACTATATAAGATCACTGTAATAAAAATGAAATAGTTAGCAGGGTGGGGGTGGCTATGAGAGCAGGTAAAGAATGGATAGATAATGAACACTGTTTTGGAACAAGAGAAGGGAAAATCAATTTGAAATTACCAGAAATTAAGTGTGTTGAAATTAACAATCTAAACCAGGATACACAGAATGGTTTAGAAAGGGGGGAAGAAGAGAGGGAAAGAAAAGAAAATGTATATGAATGATGAATGAATGAAAAACAATGTCTTTGTAAAATGTCATTGAATTCACAATTAAAAACGAGCACCTTAGGCATGTTGTTATGTACCATAGAGTTGCGTATGACTCATAGTGACCCTATGCACCTTGGCTTGAACCCTGCCCTATCATGGGCCAGTCTCATCATCTCCGACACATAATCCTGTTTCACCAGTCCCTGAGTCACTCCATCTCATCGTGGGTCTTCCTCTCCTGCGCTTCTTCCAGCCTTCCAAGCATGATGCCCTGCTCCAAGAACTGGTCCTCCTGACAATGTGCCCAAAATATGTGAGAGTGAGCTTCAAAATCATTGCCATTAAGTAGCAGTTTGGTTTCACCCCCTCTAGGACAGACCTGGTCTTGTGGCAGTCCATAGTCCAAGAGTTCAACACTCTTCTTAACTCAAATACATGGATCTTTCTTTTATCATCTTTAGTTATTGTCCAGTTCTCTGATGTATAGCAAGTAATTGTGAAGACCATGGACTGTATTAGGCATGCCTTATTCTCCAGTACTAATGTAATGCTTCATTGCTCTTCAGTACTCTAGAGAGGTCCCTGACAGCCGACTTTCCCAATGCAATTCATCTTCTGATTTCTTGACTGCTGGTGCCAAGAGTGTTGACTGTGGAACCACGCAGTTGAAGTTGTTAATAATCTGTCTTTTCTCCAGCCCAGTGGTGGGAATCTTTGTTTTCCATATTGAAGACTATGGTCCTTAATTTTCTGTAGCAAGTGCCTCATTTCCTCTTCAGTTTCAGCAAGCAAGGTTGTGTCTTCTGAATAACGCAGGTTGTTGAGGAGTCTTCCTTCAATCCTGAAGGAACCTTTCACCTCATAAGTGCAGCCAGAATGATCTGTTTTGCATATAGATTGAAAAGGTATGGAGACAGGATGCATCCCTAATGCACACCTTTCCTGATCCTGAACCATGCAGTGTTTCTTTGCCCTATTCTAACTACTGTTTCTTGGTCCAACTATAAGTTTCACATGAGCACAATCAAGAGTTCTGGGATTCCCATTCTTCTCAAGGTTAGCCACATTTGTTGTGATCCACACAGTCAAATGCCTTTGCATAGTCAATGAGACACAGACAGACATTCCTCTAGTATGTTCTGTTTTTGGCCAAGATCCATCTGATGTTGGCTATGATGTCCCTAGTGCTGGTCTCTTTTAAACCCAGCTTGCACATCTGGGAGTTCTCTGTTGATGTACTGTTCCAATTGCTTTTTTAGTATCTTGTTTTCATATGATATTAGTGATACTGTTAAATAATTTCCACACTCTGTTAAGTCACTTTTTAAAAAAAAAAAAATAGGAATAAATATAGATCTCTTCCAATCAGATGGTCAGGTAGTTGTTCTCCAGTTTTCTTGGTATAACCTGCTGAGGACAACCAGAGCAGCATCTGTGTGTTGAGATATGTCAACTGGTATTCCATCAATACCTGGGCCTTTGTCTCTTGCAAATTCATTAAGGGCAGCTGGAATGTCCTCCTTGATCACCATTTCCTCTTGATCATGTGTTGTTTTATCAAAGTCTTCTGTGCCAAACAATTCTTTTTGGTATTGAGACTCAATGCACTCCTTCCATATTCTTTTGATGCTTCCTGGGTCACTGAAGATTCTGCCGTCAGCATCCTTAAGTATTAGAACTGTAGCTTTTAATTTGTTCTTCAGTTCCTTCAGCTTAAGAAATGCTGAGAGAGTTCATCCTTTTTGGTTTTCTGACTCTAGCTCATTGTACATTTCATTATAATACTTTGTTTTGTTGTCCCGAGTTGCCCTTTGAAATCTTCTGTTCAGCTCCTTACCTTCTTGATTTCTTCCCTTTGTTTTTATTTTTCAGTGTTCCAGTGTAATATTCAGAGTCTCTGCTAATGTTCATCTTGGTCTTTTCCCCCTTCTCTGCCTCTGTAATGACTTTTAGCATTCTTCATGAATAATATTCTTCATACTCTCCCACAGCTTTTCTGGTCTTCACTTAGGCATAGAGAGGCAAATAGAAATACAGTAAGATAGATTCCATATCAACTGGAGATCTTTAAGGACCAATAATAGAAGCTAAAGGAATGAGTAACTTCTCCTAAAGCCATCAATAATAAAGTCTTTGATTACCTTATTTTGGATTTCTACCCTCAAGATGGAACAATATTATTAATATCTCATGCAAAGAATATATTGTTGAAGTTCATTAAAAAATGTCTAGAATAGGGCATTGATAGGGAACTGCCAAAGATGTTCAAGCTGGTTTCAGAAGAGGCTGCAACACTAGGTATATTGCTGCAGATATCAATCAGATGGATACTGGCTGGAAGCAGGAACAACAGAAGAAAGTCTATTTGTGTTTTGTTGAATACACAACAACATTTGATTCTGTAAATCTTAACTAATTATGACTAACATTGAGAAAAATGGAACACG